ACTAAAAATAAAAAACGGAGCACAATATTGTAAAATAAAACTGTAGTTTAATTAAAATAAACTTTAGTATTACTATAATGAAACTTGTGCATGTGTGTGGAAAATAAAAATAAAATCCAAAGCCATACAATACATATATTGTCATATGAACTGAAGTTCAATTAAAATAATACTTCAATATTACTGTAATTAAACTAGGGTGTGTGGAAAATGAAAAAAAAAAATAGAGCTCAAACAATAATATATATTATCAAATAAAATTATAGTAGAATTAAAATTATACTTTACTATTGCTATAATGAAACTAGTGTGGGGGGAAAATGAAACTAAAAAACTTAGCAATATTGTCAAATGAAACTAAGTATAATTAAAATGATACATAGTTCATGATCCATGCTGCTACATAGACCATGGTCCATAGTAACAATTGTTATACCTTAGACTAGGGTTCATATTGCATTGTGACCCTGATACAAAAATTGTGTACTTTCAATTAACACATTTCGAATAGCTTCTGTGCATGTAAACAAATAACTTGATAATTGTTGACACAAAATATGATAGTTATAGGTACAGAAACTATCCACTGCAAGTACTGATGTGTCAACTATAGCTACAGAATCTGAATGTTATTTTTGCACATGTATAATTTGCCTAGAGCAAAATTTGTCGCTCCAAATCTAATAACATAATAAGTCTCAATCAAAGTTATATCAATCATTTATGTCAATGTTTGTAATGCTAATCATTTTGTACATTGTGCTTTTAGAGTTGTATTATATAATTTTTTGGACAAAAATATCCCCTACCGTTATAACTTTCGTTATCTTTTTCTATTATTGTTACCATGCACATGTATCCACCATATATTTTCTTATATTCTTTAATGGTAATAATATTTGTAGACATTATATATTGGATTATTATAATACATAAATTTTATTTCATATAAATTTTGATTAGTATGAATTTGTTAGTTATTTTAAATAGTGAGCATATGTTTTTGCGCATTGCGCATAGAAAACACTAATAAAGATATAAACCTTGCATAATTTAAAAACTTGATAATATATTTAAAAAATTTCAAGAAAAAACGTTTAAAAAATTTTGAGCAATAAAAATAATTATAATAGATTTCCCTACGTACAACTACCAAATTAAAGTCCCTCTCCGTCTCCCTCTCCCTCCATCTCCATGCAGGTCCTCTGATCCTCTATCTGTTATAAGGTTAAATTTTCTATTTCCCTTCCAAAACACTTCTCTTTAATTCAATCTCTTTTCTAAACTCTCTCTCTCTCTCGTATTTTATACGTTTCTGTATATAAACACCAAAATAGATCAGAATAAGAAAGCAGCGGTAAGGGATTTATAGGTATCCTTCTAGGAAACGATATTTGAGTTTTTCAATCATGTATACCATTTCTAGGCATGTTTCTAATATGAATTATGATAATATACTTTCATACTTTCTTCTTGGGAAGAAAATACATTTAGTCAATTTATTTACTATAAGAAAGATCATAGTTAATAACTTACTAACTTTTATACTTCTTATTTTGTGATTTTCGTTTATCACATTTTGAGAAAATTCATCGAGGTTTTCAATATAAGTAACTAGTTACCCATATAAATATGTGATGATTATGTCTATTAACTACATATCTAATTTATTTACTTCTAGTTTTATCGAATAGCGGAATATAATGCCATGAAAAACCTTCAACCCGCCTTTTATTACATTATTTCTTGTTTTTTTCATGACACATTCTAGTGTATATATTTCTTTAGCAAGTTTTATTTGTATGCCTTAATTGCTCTTTTAATTTCTATCAAAATAGTTAGCACGCTTCGGGCATTATACTACTGTTTTAATTTCTGGATCTAGATTTTAAGTTTTTATGAGCAATATAGGTAAAATATGTTGTCGACAACTATAACAACTTTGTAAATATTTTTTATACACATGGAAATTTTGTATCAACCAAATATATGGCATTTCCCAAAAGTATTTGAATTTGGTTGTTCCGCTTCCCCAGTATTTTAGCTATTTGGTGCACCTACAATTTTACTGGGGGTTTTCGCCTTCTAGACGAATATTTTTAGGATAAAATTTTTATATTTCAGGAGTGACGAAATTTCTACACTAGATCTAGTTTTTGCAAATTTTTAAACCGATAAATTTCATATGCTTCCGGCATTAAGAAAAACGGTAGAGACATTTAGTCCTAGTTGGGGATTTCAACTCCTAATATATATGAAATAATTTCTATGGACTTAGTCACTATTTGAGATTTCTAGCAGATTATTTATTTGTTCAATGTTTGAACTTCTGATTTTATAAGATTAGTACATGGGTTTGAAGATTTTTTATCTCATGAAATTTTCTAGGCATTTAATTAATTAGGAACTTCAATTCTCCCCCTAATGCCGAGAAAAAGATCTTATGATGCAACCATCATTGTTGTTGATTTCTCATGATGGGCTATAGGTAGAAGGGCTGCATACTAAAAAAAAAAAAAAGGTTGAACGCATATTGGGAAGTGTATCATGGTGTTGAATCATGTACTAGACGTTTATAATATGTAGTGGATAAGCATGGTTGTTTCTCAATTTTTGAGGTCCGATCCCCAAAATAGATATATTTACTCCATAATTGCTTAACAAAGCTCTTATAAAAATATGTCTACTTTAAATAAACATTGTGCATGTTTGGTTAATGGCGGATCCGCCAAAATTTTGACAGATTCAACATTTCGGCATTTTGACCAAGGTCAAAATGCCGAAAAAGTTGTTTGGTTAATGGCGATTTGAAGCAACAGATTGCTCCAAACCGCCAAGTTTGCAAATGCTGCATATAGTAGCATTTGAAAATAACGTTTTGGGGATCGGAATAATTTATTTCCCCAAAAGACCCTTACAATAATTTTATAATAATTTAATTTATTAAAAAAAAAAAACACTAATGAGCCTGCCCATCCGCTGCCAGCGGATGTACATAGCTATTCTAATCTAAAAAAATGGAGCCTTGAGGCTCCTTTTATAGGAGCCTCAAGGCTCCATCCCCCACTTATCTCACCGATGTGGGATAAGTGGGGGAGCAAATTTTACAAAAGGGGAGTCGCTGTCTTTATTATTTTTTAAAATTTTTTTTTTACATTATTATTATTATTATTATTATTATTATTATATAATTATATATATTATATATTATTATTATTATTATAATATAATTATATATATTATATATTATTATTATTAAATATTAAATATATGTATACCTTTTAGGTCATTTTACATGTTAACCGCTAATCTAAACAGCTGATTTTACCAAACATGTTTTTACAAACCGCTAATATAATCCGCTAGTCAAACCTGCTAACACAATCCGCTATTTGTTAACCGCTAACACAATCTGCTATTTGTTAACCGCTAACACAATCTGCTAACGCTAACCGCTAACCGTTGTTTGCCAAACAAGGCCATTATCTTTAAGGTAGCCTTGAACAATTTACTTCATTAGTTAAACAATTTATTTAAAACCTTTCGAATTCAAGCTTTTTTAAAAAGAAATTATAAAAGTGGGACCAACAATTTATTTATTGTGATCAATGAAGTCCTATTGGATTAATAAGTTCAAGTACCATTTCCTTCACTAGCTGATTTTCTAAATTATGTTTTGTATTTTTCTTACTTGTTTTTGTTTAATTGTGATCAATGAAGTCCTATTGATTAGTCTTTTTCTTTTAATTGTTTTATCATCATATATTTACAACTATATAATAAAATAGTTGTTAATACTAGTACTCATAGTGTCGTATCGTAGTCTCTGTCTGATGGTTGCTGGATCGTTATGCTGTGGAACCGTGTCCTCCTTGCAAGGTGGATACGATTCTATGTTTATGTGATTTTAAAGTTGTACTATATAATTTTTTGGACAAAAATACCCCTACCGTTATAACTTTCGTTATCTTTTTCTATTATTGTTACCATGCACATGTATCCACCATATATTTTCTTATATTCTTTAATGGTAATAATATTTGTAGACATTATATATTGAATTATTATAATAAATAAATTTGATTTCATATAGATTTTGATTAGTATGGATTTGTTAGTTATTTTAAATAGTGGGCATATGTTTTTGCGCATTGCGCATATATAGAAAACATTAATAAAAATATAAACCTTGCATAATTTAAAAACTTGATAATATATTTACGAAATTTCAAGAAAAAACGTTTAAAAAATTTTGAAAATAAAAATAATTATAATAGATTTCCCTACGTACAACTACCAAATTAAAGTCCCTCTCCCTCTCCCTCTCCCTCCATCTCCATGCAGGTCCTCTGATCCTCTATCTGTTATAAGGTTAAATTTTCTATTTCTCTTTAATTCAATCTCTTTTCTAAACTCTCTCTCTCTCTCTCTCTCTCTCTCTCTCTCTCTCGTATTTTATAGGTTTCTGTATATAAATACCCAAATAGATCAGAACAAGAAAGCAGCGGTAGGGGGCAATGGAGCATTTCAATCCTGCAAGAAGCGTGGAAGAGGCTTTCAAAGAATTCAAGGGTCGAAGGACTGCCTTACTCACAGCTCTCACTACAGGTACGTACTGCTCCATATTTAATTACTTTAATCAAAAGAAACCATTATTACTTAACAAAGGAATGGGGATTTTCTTTATGCGTTTTTCCAGATTTTGATGAAGTTTATAAGCAGTGTGACCCAGGTAAAGCTTTCTTTTTTCTCTTCTTGTGCAAGATATAGATACATGCTATATATGTTCTTTGAAATAATCTTTTCTTTTCTTGATGAACAAATATTCACGTTCTTGATTATAAATTTTAGTAATTAGGCTCGATCTTCAGATTTGCATATATATCATAATTCCTTGAAATGCATGCATGGAAAGAATTGAAATGTGATAAGTTTAATTTGGGGTTGTAATTGCAGCTGAGAGTTATGAGCTTTGCCTTATTGGACATCTGGGTGAAGAATGGGAAGTACTAGTGAATTTAGAAGAAGAAGAAGAAGAAGAAATGAATGCAGTGCTTCCTCAACCCCATTGGGGCATTAACTTTGCTCGAAATACAATGGAGAAAAAGGAGTGGCTCACTATGGTTGCACTTCACAGTGACACATGGCTATTTCGTGTTGCATTCTATTTTAGTTCAAGATTTGGCCATGACAAAGCTGATAGGTATGCATGCACCTTTAAGTTTAATTTGTGTTATACTCATCGAATTGAAAAGAGAATGAATAATTAATTTTAGTTTCACTGCTCTAATCTCATCTCATCTGCTGTCACAGGAGTCGACTTTTCGATATGATAAATAAACTCCCTACCATCTTAGAAGTTGTGTCAGGGAAAGCTGAGGAACCACCAAAAGTGCTCAATGATGACAACCCGCCAGAGGTATATATATATATTAGATTGAGTACAGTGAGTGTGGGTGCAGTGCCAACAAATACACGATCGAGTTCGAATTTTATTGCAAAAAAGTCACACATTTCGAGATTTAATTACCTGAATCTTCTAATAAGCCCCAGGCTCAAGTTTAGGATTTAATTTGAGTATATATTAATGTATGTTTGGTTTGGATTTCAGATAAAGTGGCCAGTGTGTGGAAGATGCAATGAGAGGTATATAGAAGGTGACTTGTGGAAACAGTGTTCGGAATGCCAAACCCCTTTCCATTTGATGAAATGCCTCAAACTCAACAAGGATAAGCATCGTCATCAGCCATTTGTATGTTCTTCTTGTGCACTCAAACTACGAGATTGAGCGTGTCCCCCCGTCTATTACAGGGACCTAGCTTTTATACTAGACATGATATTGGAATACGAATTTGATGACATGATATACTAGACACTTTATGCTTCATTAAGTGTACTTGGCCATCTATAAGTGTATATTGGAATACGAATTTGATGACATGAATATAATATGTTTCATCAGTTTACTTTGTTCTTCTGATCTGTGTTTTTTTTACCCTATATGTTTCCATGATTGTGCTATTCAATGTGTGGGCAGCTAAAATAAAATATTCAAGTTTAAAAATATTTTGGATGTTGAATTTCTTGTTTTAAATGTATTTTGCATTATTTAATTATTTATTAATGCAACATTTTAATTATGATAGTAGTAGAGAGATTTTTAATCAACTGAGAAACAATATTAACTTGCGAAATGGGAACTTGTGAAGGGTTGCACCGCAACTACTACATGATTGGACTGCTACGGCTCCCAGACATGCCTGGAGGACCTTGCGGTGCAATCGTATTCGAGTTCGGTGCAACCATGTACTAGGTGCAGTGTATGTAATCCTTCACAAATTCGCAATTCGCAGGTTAAGATTGTTTCTCATCACCTGATTATGGACCATAGTAGAGAATTAATACTTATAGATGTTTGAAAAAATATTTATAAATATATTACATATTTTAATGTTTACACTTAATTTCATTTCACATGATCATTTCCGCAATAAGAGTACGTGGCATATATAATACACATACTCCAGTTTTTAGTTCATTTCCTCCTCTCTATTTACATATTCATTCCAACAAAAGTGAACCACATGTTATATTAATTTACTTTTTTCTTTCCCCAATAAATCAAGGCTCTTATCATTTTTTTTCCATTATTAAATATTACTTTGTGCTTCATTAGATTGAGAAAATATGTTTGAACAGATACTACAATGTAATAGAGCCAGTAACATTCAAAAATATATAATTCAATCACCTCCAACTAGACCAACCCGGTACACCTTCACAAATTATATTGCATGCAGACTAAGATCCACCATAAGCATTGTAGATCGTAATTCAGACTATGTAACTGAAATTAACCTATTATGTATCAATTAATTGATTATGTATCTATATATAAACTAAAGATACATAATATATTAACTACAACAACATAATTTTATTGTAGGTACATAATCTGCCTCAAATTAAAAGTCAAATTCTCTCCGCCAACTAGAGTCTGACCAATTATATTGCGCAACTGGCGATTTATCTTTTACTTGTCATTTAATTAACTTTTCAGATTTGTATTGTCAATATTTTCCAATCAAGATTATCAATTTTCTTCCATATCTTTAAGCATTTCAGGCTTGAAGGATGAGATAATGCCTTGAGTCCTGCATGGAAACAATTAAGTTGTTTGCCCTTGAAATTGCAGAGAAGAAATTAAACACATTTGCCTTTACGGATTTCCCAGTACAGTGAAGAATGGCAAGTGAAGTTAGCAGTTGAGTATGAGTCTGCAGATCTTCCTTATCCCCTTTTGGATATTAACACTCTTAGAGATAAGATGCAAAAACTACTACTAATTAAATACAAAAAATAATCAAATTTGGTGAATGTATTCTATTAAAGCATTGTCATTATATTGTAGGTTATATGAAATGAAGCTACGCACATCATGAACAAATGATAACTTAAGCCGGAGGTTTTGGGAAAGTCTAAATAATGAGGTAAGATTTTCAATCTTCATAAATTTGTAATTTATTTGTAAATGAAATATGTAATATGATACGTAAATGAATAGGCAGACCAATAGAGGTTGTGCTTGCATGATTTGATCTTCCAATGTGTAAGAGGGCAAACAAAATTATTTTTGGATTACTAAAAAGATTGAACGAGTAACATGAAGAAAATATTAGGCCACACTTGTGTGAGACCGTCTCATTGAGACGGGTCGGATCGAGTCAATATGCGAATGTAATACTTATACTAACAAATGTAATACTAAATCGGGAATAAAATGTTTGTTACTTATAAAGGGAATTGAAATGTAATATTTTTACATTAAAATATAAAAGTATTACATTTTCTCATATAAGTACTAAACATTTTATTCTTGATTTAGTATTACATTTTATAAGTATTAAATGGCAAATATATAAAATTAAAATTACAAAATTACTATTCAAGATACAAAATATGCGTTACCGGAGTAATATCACTAGTACAAAAATGACCCCAATTTGTTGTAATTAACAATATGCATTTGTTGTACAATAGACAAGTAATATCATAGCTTGTATATGAGTGATTTTTTTTAATATATATACATAAACACACACAATACTAGTTGGTTTTTTACCAGGAATAAACACATATAGTATATTTTTTCTAAGAAATAAAAATTATATGCATTTGTTTCTGGTTAATTAGAAGCATATATGTATAGTAAAGATGTGATTGTGTGACTCCAGTTTTCCAAATAATTAATAGATGCTACATACAAATTAAAGTCAATGAAAATCCTTTAATTTTAGTACAAAATAATTACTGCAAGTCAATAATTAATCAACAAACGCATGCCAAAGTGTATTTATTTTGTGTAATAATATCACCACCACAAGAAACTCTTTCTGTGTAGCAGCATTATTGAGTTGTGCCTCATCTAAGGTTTGGCTTATACAGCAAATGGCATGCAACACCTTGTCTTGTCTTTGCTCCAACATTGCATTTGCATGTCACTTGCATTGCACATGAGCTCAAATGGTTAAATGATTAATGCTTCTCATAAAACTTGCTGTATCGGCCTTGTTCGTCCTGGTTTAATATAGTACAAGTGTAGAGAGAGAGAGGGGAATAGACTTTTACAATTTTTATTTTAAAGAGATTACAAAAATTTAGAATTTTTCACTTTTTTTTTCTTTTGAATAGTGTTGACCTCGATCTTAACTAAATAGTCAAGATTAGAAGATTGTTCAGTGGAAAATAAGTTTTTCAATAGGTTTTGTTAAATCAAATAAATATGGTAAAGTAAGGTGCTGATAAAATAAATGAGACAAAAGATTGTATAGTAATTTGAAGGTGATGTAATCCTTCTACTCCACCCTCTCTTATTGTCTAGGAGGAATTAGATGCTACATGTCCATTTCTGCCCCCACGCTCGAAGGATCTATTATATGTCTCTTCTTCCCGGCCACAGTTGTAGCAAGTCACTAGCCTCCCGTAACAATCATATCCCGGGTGACTCTTCCCACATCTCGCACAAGAGTGGGGTCTTCCCCTAACTTCATTACTTCTCCCCATTGGGCTACGAGCCGGTTGATACGATCGTCCATTATTGAAGTTTCCCATGAAGCATTCCTTGGCCTAAAGTTAAAGTTTCCACTACCCTCGCGTCTCCTCTTGCTTTGCTCTTGTACTCCACGCTGAATCTGTTGTACACGATAGAGGTCCGCAGCACTGATGTGGGCCTCGCTAAGAGTCCTAAACATGAGTATGGTCAAGGCTTTCCTACCCTTGAAGTTGATTCCTGCCACAAACTTCTCAATCTTAGTTGCTTCGGTAGGTACCAAAATACGGGCAAACCGAGATAGATCTAGGATTCTCTTATGGTACTCCAGTACAGAGGATGACCCTTGTTTGAGGTGGAGAAACTCCTCGTACATCGCAGCCCTTATGTGAGCGGGATAGAAACGCTCACGTAACTTGTCCTTTAAGCTATCCCACATGAACTCCGGTCCTTCTTGCATCCACCATAAATTGGCATCCTGCCTAAAGTAGAAAGCAGCTATCTCGACTCGGCGATCCTCCGGACAGTCCACCACCTCCAGGATCTTATCGAAAGTCCTCCAGGATCTTATCGAAAGTCTGAATGCACTGTACTCCTCTAGTATCACGGGGTCTTCTTCCCCAGCGAAGACTGGTGGGTGATGACTTAACACTTGACGTGCCACATCTCTGTTCCCGTTCTGATGGTTGTTGTTGTTGTTGAGAAGAGCATTACTCAACGCTTGAGTGATCTGAGTCAGTTGATGAAGGTTTTGAGCTAGCTGTTCGTTGGTAGGCGTTTCCGGTGTCCTTGCACGCTGCCTCGACGGTGCCATCTCAGATTCTACAGAAGCAACACCAATTACGGAGATAAACTTATCAACTTGCACCTTTACATGGTGCCTTAACTAAGAGGACTAAAGCTAAATGAAGAACAAAGCATAAAAAACACAACAGAAATCAATAAATAAACTCACAATCTCACCGCGTGTCTTATGGTTCCTATGACTTAAAGTACTTAAACACTTAGAATTATTACTTAATGTCTTAAAGTCTCATTCTTAGATCACTAACCTAGGTTCCAACCTAGGCTCTGATACCAAATGTAACACCCCCAAAACTAGATATAATTTTAAGCATTTAACTTAAGAAATCAAGATACAAGTCTAACCGATTTGATTAATACATTGCGGAAGCTAATCAAAATAGTATGAGGATGTCATGCCACATCTAGGCCACCAACCTAGATGCACATGCTAAAATCAAAACTGCATATCGAAAGTCATCATTATCCAATAGGCTCACAGGCCAAATCATCTAAATACTAAAAGGAAAATACTAAGACTAGAAGATGGGGTCCGACTAGCGTGCTCTCAGACTGACTAGACTGCACCTGAAAACATTATATAGTAACCGTTAGCGAAAATTACTAAGTAACCCAACTCCAACGCGTTGAAATACATATACATATACTTTATATTTAAAAACCATTTCGAGACTTGGGAATACATAAGTATATCTCTTAATCATCTCTATTAAATCGCAAGGACTAGAATCAACACTCAACCATTCAGGGTATGTACTCAACAAGACCACTCGGTATAACAAGGACATTAATAGAATCAACTCGACAAGACGATGATAACGAAGTAAGGATAATAATCAAGATAGGGTATTCACAATCATTACAAGGTAGTTCTCATCATGTTATGCATGCAAATCAATCATCATCAAGGTTCCAAGCCCTCAAAGGACATAGCTAAACCAAGACATACACCGCGGAGTCATCGCAACGACTCGTTACCATAGGGGATCAGTGTGGGTATCTCAAATAATCAACTCGGGGTCAAAGACCCGATTCATAGATTCCGCGGGGTCACAAAGACCCGATTGAGATGGGCGGGGTCACAAAGACCCGATTATGGTTTCTACGGGGTCACAAAGACCCAATTCATGGAGACAGTCCTAAATCCTTATATGTATACACCCCTATTGTGACCTCCAATCCCCAATAAGTAGAAGTAGTCCTGACAACCTGTATATGTTTCGACAGAATGTCCGTAAATACCATCATCTCGAATCTGTAAGAACTTCCACACTGTCCATTGTACCAGCTCAATCATCACAACAAGGTTCCACACAAGGAATCATAAGAGACAAATGCAAAGGAATAGATTCCACAAGAAGGTATTCAACATCGGATAAGCTCAAACAATAGCTCAATCAAAGAATTATCAAAGATAAGGTACAACGAAGTACAGGCTCACATTGATAGTTCGAGGTCAATGGATTTCAAGAAAGAGATACGAGGAAGATATTTCAAAGGCAATACTACGATATCAAAGGATTCCAACGAAGAGATCACAACGAATGAATAGGCTCAAGTTATCAATTCAATCAAGATTCAAGCAAAGGTTATCACAAGGAAATCACATACTAGTACCAAGAAACAACGTTACTAGCATGCAAACCAACAAGGTAATCATACGACTCATAGACTTCATCAAAATCCAACAAGCATCAATATTGGATTACAGCTGCGATTCAAGACTCACAATTAACCTAACCATAGGGTTCATAATACACCGATTTAGACTTACGAAACATCAATAAATACACACAAATACACGAGGATACAACACAACGGAAGCCAAGAATAATTGCACCAGTGGGCGGTTCCGACGGGACCCAAACCACCCGTCGAACCCCCTACTAAAACGAAGCACCGACGGGTGCTTTAGGAGGGTGCTTTGCTACCCACCCAAAGTACCCGCTTGGTACACGAACTGTAGAGGAAATATGGATTTCGGGAAAAATGCCAAGAATGTGAAATCCAAGTCCAAACTCATCAATACTCACATCAACAAAAAATATGACTTGAATAGAAGGAATGACACATCAAATAACATCATACAACCTAGATACAAGCTCTAACAATAGCATAAACACAAGAATATGCTCATACAACACATGATCATTACGAATACACATTTGTATATGGAAAATAGGTTTTGTTGGACATAGGGTTACCTTCTTAGTTTAGCAAACCTTCCAAACCCTCCAAGATCACTCTTGCAAGTCATCTTCAATGTGATCTTCATCATAAACCCCAAAACCAACACACAAAGGAAAAGACTTCGATGATGTAAATGGAAAACCATGAATAAAGACTATAAACACCTATTACTTACCCTTCCTATGCTTGGTGAGAGTGAAAGATGGAATCTTGCCTAGTCTTCTTGGTTGAGAAATGAAGAACACTCTTGATAGAGTGGAGAAGTGGAAAATGGCGTGTGAAGAGGTGTGTAGGGTGAGCTGAAATGTTTGAGAGTGATTCTAGCTAGCTAAGTGGTAGGAGTTCATGGGTGAGTGTACTAGGTTGTAGGATAAGGCTTGGGCCATAAATTAGATATACATTTTTAAGTTTGTACTAAGGTCCAAAGCATATTAAATAAGTGTCCAACCAAATGATCCCATTTAAAGGCTAAAGGATTGGGCCAAAATAAATCCCTTAACTAGATTTAAGGCAAAAGTTATAAAAGGTTAAAAGGATAAGTAGGAGGATCAAATCCATCCTTAGGAAATTTGGGGAAATCAATTTGGTTTTTCGGGAATAAATTCATGGGTGTCACACCTGGTCGCCATCTGCATAGAAGGGGGCCTCTGGTTGTGCTCCATGGAGAAGACGACCAGTTGGTCTCCCTTCGCAAAACCGTCACCGATTTTCGCCGAATTTTTGCCTGAACTGAAATGACTTGTAATAATAGGTCATTTACGCGTTCTTGGGCCTCATTGCCCCAATTTGACATGTTTGAGGGTTTAATTGCACATTTTTAGAGTTTAGGTGCCTGATTGACTTTTGGTGTAAAGTCGTTATTTTTATACTTGATAACTATGTTTTTAAAATAATCTAGATTAGTCTTAACTAATATTTTCATATGTGCATTGCACGAAATGTATTTGTTATAATATTTTAAGAATATTTAGATCGATATACAATTATATAAATTATAACAACGAATATTATATAGTGCAATTGATGAAATATGTTTGATCAATTATGTTTTCTAATGTTATCCTTGAATTCGAGCAAATAATTGTCCAATAACACGTGGAATGCACGAATAATTTATATATATATATATATATATATATATATATATATATATATATATATATATATATATATAGATATATATATATATATATATATATATATATATATATATATATATATATATATATATATATATATATATATATATATATATTAAAGATGAAATTATAAACAATTCTAATATTTGAAAGTGTACCTTTATTTTAATTTTTTTTGAAAAAAAGTGTATTTTTTTTATTATAAGATTAGTGCAAAGTAACATTCAATTAATTGAATAATATATGACACATTTGTCTGTAAGTTTCTTAAAAAAATCGATATGTAATATAATTTATGTAATTTTAATATTACTAAAATAACATGAAAAGGGAGAAATAATTTAATTGTAATTATTATAAAAATAAATCCAATGACCCATGTTTAGCTTAATTATCATAATAAGTATTAGGCAATTATACAAATATTTGTGTAATTATACTTTTATACCTTTAGTGTATATATATATATATATATATATATATATATATATATATATATATATATATATATATATATATATATATATATATATATATATATTGCGTGCATGTCAAAGCGTTAGTGTGTGCACTAATTATTCAACACTGTTTAAATTGCAGATACAAGCTAGTATTTGTTCCGTTTACAGGTGTGGCAACAACCAAACAGTCATTGAATCTATATTCGGTGCATTGGCACCTGTAGAGATACGCATTAAAGAACCCAAAGTTGCGAAGAACAAAGGTAGTGGGAAGAGACGCAAGAGCACTAAAGAAAAAAAAAAAGCGGCGAAGAAGAAAAAAAGGTAAAGACGTGCGCTAAATGTGACGGCGTAGGCCATGATACCCGCAATTGTCCAAACAAAATAGAAGCATTAGAAGACTATAATGTCATAGATTTAAGAAGAGAGAACGAAAAAATTTTTATAGTTGCTAGAAAGTTTAATAAACAAACATGGAAATGTTGGTTAATTGAAGTATTTGTTAATTTAATAAATTGAGAACTACAGTTGCAACTCTAATAATTATTGGAGACAGCGTCAGTAATAGTAATGGATTACAGTGCACACTAAGATGGGTATAGGTGGACACAAGGCCGAGATAGTCTACCTATTGGGCATGATGACATAAATTCGAAGGATACCATGCATCGAACTAGCGTGTGGGTATTCCACTTGGTCACCGACGACAACACACTAGTGTAAGAGAGTGTGCACAAACAATTTACTACATTACCGGGGGGTAAAACACGCGGTAACGAAATACATACACCCAGCGAGCATTTGTGCACACAAAGCATCACCGTGCACACTCGTGTGCGCGATCGCCTAAAAGCAGGTGCACCCCCAAGGAAATTGTCCGAATCGTCACCATAATTGGTCACCGAATTATACTGCGCGAAAGGTAAGGTACAAAGTCCACAAGTTTACAGACCAAAGGTTAGTAAAGTAAGGTTTGATGAAATCTGGCACTATGCACTTTATAGGCTAATGTTGTTGACATCATTTTCCATGTTATGTATTATCACTTTACTATATATGATTTAGAATATTGTTCTTTTGGGAAGGAAAATTGTGTTTTGAAAATCAGGTAATGTCTGGAACAGTAACATAACAGTAATACTGTATAGTACTCTAGTTTGCTTATTCACAGGAAAAAAAAAAACAAAAACTTGAATCCAAAGGTGGGCAAAGTTCATATTCAAGAAAGGAATTAGATCCAAAAGCTTGATTCTGAATTTCCTTTCACAAATCCCATACAAGAAGCTTGTAGTCATAATTATAAACGGGCAAACACAATTCTATAGCGTGAATTGTAGTCAACGAGAAGCTTAAATCGACAAAACGACATAGTGGGAAAAACATATCTAGGAAGAAGCGAGAGGATCACTGATATACTGGTACGCCCAACATAAATTTCGAGATTTATGTGTATTGAATTCAGAAACTACGAGTTCCATCATGCATTGAATCGGCGAACGAGTCTTGACCCTAGGAAATTTTGAAACCTCTTCCACCGTCAGCTCATTATTTGGGGCATCCTACACCGGATCTTATTGCAACCTTGCAAGAAAGGCCTTTGGCGGAGAAACAAAGTCCGAACCTTGGAACCTTATACTTCTTTCCTGGGAAAAACAACACAAAAATCCAACCATGCACACATCTAAACCACTAGACGAGCAACAGTGACCACATACAACGCCAACCAACAAAAAATTATGCAAATATACCATGCTACAAAACCCAACAGGAGAGCACACACACATACCAAAACATGCACACACTTACTCCAAATGCAACGAATTTAAAAATACGACAATAAATAAGCCAAAAAAGATTGTGCAACCTATACCAAACTACACAACCTACCAAAACTAAGTAAATCAACCCAATTTAGCAATACGAATTAACTGCACACACTATAACTGCACCACACACACAACAAATTCACAAACACAAATGTCGAATAGAACAAAATAAATGACCGCACTGTATATGGTTAAACTGTGCACATGGACAACTAAACAAATTTCACCGATTGATAATACCTATGTTAAATTCACATAACTGACTACTTAACTATATGCATGAGGATATAGTCAAATTTCAACCATGGATAATCAGTACATAAATTTGGCACAAGTGACATGCTCAATACCAGCCTATACCCTTAGTGCATAAATACATGTGTGCACACAACTACATTATGGTGTGCACTAGCCAACACAACTTTAAAAAGTTGTTATCACCATTAGCTTATACAATTAGTAGAATAGATATGTGCACTTTGGGGTCAAACTGTGTGCAAACACAGAATATATAAATTTAATTAGGTTATACACGTAGCAAAGAAATAGATGTGTGCATGTATGTGTTAAACTCTGTTCATGTGCAACTAAATAAATGACTATATGTTATCCCAAAGACTTATATTAACTCATTTCTCTAAATTAATTTCATAAATATTAATTTATTTCTCTTATATATGTTCAAATTTGCAGGTCTCCATGCGTAGTGTTATATTAATGAATTTCTCTTAATTAATTTCATAAATATTAATTAATTTCTCATATATATGTTCAACTTTGGAGGTCTCCATGCGTAGTAATGAATTGTTTATTGCTGCTGGGGAGGAAACTGTGGTTTATGTCAGTTCTTAATCCATTATTCCTAAGTTATCCTACTCACTTTCTTTTTCATCCCTAATCTCATCAATTTCTTGAAGTTATTAGAGTAGCCTATAGTGCAGAGAATGATGAATAAAAAATAAAATAAAAAAAACTAATTGAACTAAATTCCCCCCAATCCTGTCGTCGAGTAAATACACCACCGTCCCCCGCAACCCCTCCCTCCCCAGACACACAAACATAGAAAAATAGCTCCCCCAACAGATGACACCGACCGAACAAAAAAAAAACAAGAGAGGATACAAATAGCAAAAACCTCCAAAAACGGCAAAAGGGTACAAAAGAAATACCTCGATCTACACTCTGATTTGGTGGTCCCCGTCGCTTGGCTCCACTTCGGCCCCCATCGACGACCATCGTCCACCGTTGATGAAGAATCTGGATCTAATGGCGTGGGACGCATGTCTTCGACAACCATACAGCGAATAGAGAGAGGGAGAGATTTGTGTAAAATAAACTTCTAGTGTTGATTGAATCCCAATAATTTAATGCAATTAAAACAATAGTCAAAACCCAAAACTACCCCCACTAACCTAAAAACAGGCACTTGGTAAATTGAAATATGCAAAACTAATTAAATAAATTCTATCCATCCAATTCCAAGATCTTACGATCCTAATTAATCCACGCGTTTGTATTTTAAGACCTGTTTGTATTTGAATATATATATATATATATATATATATATATATATATATATATATATATATATATATATATATATATATATATATATATATATATATATATATATATCACATCACTTGTCTTCTTGAAACCAGAGTAATGAATGGGGAACTTAAGGCTCAGTTATAAAAATTTTAAAAACTTTTGTAACTTTTAAAAATGATTATTGACTAAACTACTATATATGAAAAAAATGTACATACTAAACATCACAAGTTATTCCGTTGGTGAATTTTCTCATAAAAGCAATTTGACATCATTTTGTATCTCAAAAGTTCTGGTTTGATTACCTTTGTTGCTAAGACAATGATCAAGTGTTTCTTTGTTTGTGCTAAATCTTAAGTTTGTATACGAGAGCCAGATTCCTAATAAGTTATACTAAAGTTATTGAAATGTCTTTAGAATTGAACAATCTTGAAATAAGAGGATAATAAGAAGTGAAAAATAATGTTTGAAATTGATTTTGATATAAGGAGAATAAAATGTGAATTTCCTACTTACCCTTCAAATTTTAAATATTTTTAAATTTTTCCCTCAATTAACTGAGGGACTAAAAATGAATACGGTCATAACTCAGGGGTCATAACTCAGGGACTGAGTCGGAACTTGGCATAACTCAGGGACCAAATCCACACCGATGGCATGGAAAGTACCGTACACATTTCATCCAGTGTTTATATATATATATATATATATATATGTGTGTGTGTGTGTGTGTGTGTGTGTGTGTGTGTGTGTGTGTGTATTGCATGCATGGAAACAATTAAAATGTGTTAAGTTTGGGTTTGTAATTGCAGCTCAGAATTGGAAGCTTTGCGTTATTGGACATCCAGGTGAACGATGGGAAGTGAATATTGCAGAAGAAGTGCATGTAGTGCTTCCTCAACCCCTTAGGGGCATTAACTTTGGTCGAGATAGAATGGAGAAAAGGGAGTGGCTCACTATGCTTGCACTTCACACTGACACATGGCTACTTCGTGTTGCATTCAATTTTAGTTCAAGATTTCTCCATGACAAGGCTAATAGCTATGTTTATTTTTTTGATATATATATATATATATATATATATATATATATATATATATATATATATATATATATATATATATATATATATATATATTGAAAGGTTTCCGTGCGGATGAATGCTTTCCGTGTGGATGTGCGATGGATTAATGTGCGTGAGATTTGTACTCAATGTGCGTAAGTGTTGTGATTAATGTGCCTGAGATTTGTACTTAATGTGCGTGAATGTGTAAAATGCAGCAGAAAATATTGATGTCAGCTTCTTCCCCATCCCAGTAGCCATTGCCACCCTCCCTGATGATGATGATGATGCGGAGGCGAGCTATGGTGGTTAAGAATTATGGAAATAATACAACAGAAATCCACATTTAGCTGCTGTGCAAATTTTACTGTGCGTGTGTCATCTATATAAACATTCAACTGCACTAAAGGGAATCCATGGCCAAATTGAAGGAAGAAGTAACAAGAAGCTTGGGCGTTAATGTGCGTGAGTTTATGTTCTACTTCCTTCTGAGCTCGTAATTCTGAAATACTCACGCACATTAAGCACAAATCTCACGCACATTAAACACAATACCCAGACACATTAAGTACAAAACTCACGCATATTAACATGACGCACATTAAGTAAAAATCTCAGGCACATTGACTACAAATCTCACGCACATTAAGTATAAACCTCACGCACATTAATCCACCACACATCCGCACCGAAAGCCACAATTTTCACTGCCCTGATGCTGCAGGGGTCGGCTTTTTGATATGATAAATGAACTCCCTACCATTTTAGAAGTTGTGTTAGGGAAAGCCGTGGAACCAAGACAAAAGCCAAAAGTGCGCAATGATGACAGTAAGCCAATGGTATATATTATGGCATTCTTAATAGTGAGGTATTTTGGATTGGTTTTTGAAGTGCCAAATAGGAGGGAGGAGAAAGGAAATTATGAGAAAAAGAAAAAGGAAAAAAACAAGCATTGAAAAAAATTGTATTTAGGTGCCTAGCCTGGCGCGTGACGTGCACTGCCTTTGTGCGCCTCACGCGGGTTGGCGGCAGCCCCTCTCTCTTTTGGTGCAACTCACAAATCTGAAATAATTTGGGTCTCAAGAACCCACTACCTTTCTCTCCTCTCTTTCTCTCTCTTTTTTCCATGTGGCAAAAATGTTTGAAAAAATAAAGAAAAAATCACCTATGGTGATGCTCTTTTTTCCATTGAATTTCAATGGAAAAGGATCTCTTCTTGGGAAAGAAGCAAAGTCTAAGAAATTTCAAGATTTATCTCTTGTCATAATATAGGGGGTGACGGGTACTTAGGTTTAGGATTTAAATTTATATTAGTGATGAAATGTTTTTGTTTTAATTTGAGTATATATGTATGTATGTTTGGTTTGGATTTCAGAGAAAGTGGCCAACACCACCGAAAATGCCTTTCGAGTTTCCAGTTTGATTGGATGCTCAAGTTCGATTTTGAAAATTATACTTCAGTGTAACGTGAATCAGATTACTCAGTTAATATGTTAAAACGTACTTTACTATATATGGAACTGGAGTATGTGTATCATGACAGTGATCATGTAATGACCTAGAATGCAGACACAAGGGCTCATTTAGATTCATCGGTTGAACTTTTTTTATGCTTTAATTTGATGTGGTGTTTTGTTTTTTCACTAGTCTTCTTTGATAGATTCAACTATATATCTTCTGCACCTCCAAACATACATTGTTGTCCCTTATATACTACTAAACCCTAATATGTACAATCTTTCCATATGAACAAGCAAGATACCAAAACCAAGATGGGAAAGATGGAGCATTCTAAACAAGGTCATTTTTCATAAACATGCAAGGCAGTAAGAATATTTTGACAAAGAATTGGCAACAAATTAAAGATCATTAGAGGCTTTCAGGAGTGTGATGAGTTGCTGAAGTATCTAATCTTTGATTACCAATCACTACATAATCTCGATGCCACTCATTTTTATGTTAATGTTGAGATTACAAATGAAGCCACATTTCTATAATTCTATGTTCAGTCTTTTTTTTTTTTTTTCTAGACTTTTCTCCTCGCTATAACATAGGAAAAGTTATACTTAGGAATGAACTATATTACCCTAAAAGTAGATATACTAGATAATAGTTCAAACCCCAAGGTAAACCCATGAAGTCAAAACTCCGAAAAGTACTCAAGAATCCAGAAGATACAAGGCACCTAATAGTTTACAGACAAAAGGTTCAACAGTTGAAGATCAAGAAGTTGAAGACTTGAAGATCTAGAAGTTTATTGGACCGAAAGGTAAGATTAATTGAATAGAGATAGAAGTAGAGTGGAATAGCCGTACTACACAAACCTTCAAACCACTATCAATTGATTGTCTCACTTATTTTTAGTATTTACTTTGCACATATGTATCATTACTTAAATCCTTATATTTTTAATACATCTTTTTAAAAATTATACATTTTCCGCTGCACAAATATTAACTCTATTTTAGACTTAACTAATTAATTTAAGAAATGTGTCAGAATTTGTAGTTTTTGTCCGTTGGCCTTTAGCTCCTTGTATCCATAATATAAAGATAAATGCAAATGTAGAACAAGAGGTCAGATAGGGAAGAAAAGGAAAGTAAATGTTACATTTCACTAGCTACCTTTTTACTTTACAAATGGGGTACACACACATATATATAGAATCATAATAACATTCATAAGGAGACATTAATATGTCTGTTACAATCGTTACAGAATAATGGCCACCATAAATATTTACAACACTCTCATTCGACATTATTTGTCCATGATCTTGCCTCGTTAAAAATTTGATAGGAAACCCTTGTTAGAAAAACCTAGACAAGAAATGAGTACAAGGTATATGGATAGTAGATTTAAATACATTCATGTCTCGTTAAAAACTTTACTGTGAAAACCACGTGGGAAAAACCTAGTTGAAGAAAAGAGTACATGATATTTGTAAACTCATATTTTGTACTGGTTGCCTCATTAAAAACCTTAACTTCAGAAAATCCTGTGGGAAAAACTTAGTTAAGGGAAAAAGAGTACAACCATAAGCCTTCAAGGCATAATCTTCATGATTTTGGGGTTTGTCTATTTAAGTATTTATTTGCAACTATCCCCCATTGACATTATTATATCATACTCATGCCTCGATAAAAACTACACTAGAAAAAAACGCAATGGGAAAAAACTTAGTGAGGAAAAGAGTACATGGTATGTATATGTTGCAAAAAGTACAACTATTAGTCTTTTAAGACCCAATCTACATGATTGATTCGAGTTAATGTACTTCCCGTCCCCCCGCCCCCCTGAAGATAACAATTTTCAAGTTCTACATGGCTTAAAGTAAAGTCATTGTTTCAAAATGTGTAGAGTAGGGATATGGTACAATTTTTAGGATTGTCATTAGAATTTATCATTTTATACTATTATCTCGTGACTCTTCTGAAATATATGTGGGTTAAACTTGTCCACTATCCTTCAAACATATCCACTTATAATTTCTATAAGACAAACTTTATTATCCTCATATAGGATAGTGAAGGTAAAGCAAAATATAACCAGTTGGGATTTGGCATTATGAGGGTGAAAATAAAGAGCTAATACCCAAGTGGCCTAAGAAAACACACATTGCTTTATTGGATGAATTTCGCCCACTTTATAATTTTGTATATACATTCAGTTCAGGTTAATGAAATTCTTTTGCATGTTAGATACTTCAAATATTTTATTTTGAGTGTGTACACTTCATTTCAATTTTGTCTCATTAAGAAAATACTTCAGTGGACTTGAAATGAACATATGGTTTATTTCATTAAGTTTTATTACTAAGTACTCGAAGACAATTTGCATTTGATCATAATGGATACTACTCGCGCTAATGAGGACATATCATTATGGTTGGTGTAATATAATCTTGTTCTTGGGGTTTCATGTTTTCACCAAGTGGGAGAATGTAACGTTACTCTTTATATTATAATTATTAGGATTATTATTATAATAATATTATTAAGTATTATTTATGTGGTGCAAATTATTTAGGCTGGTTAAGTATTAGTATTTGGTCGGCATTAGGTAATTACCTACATTGATGAGTGAGTATATAGAGTCCAAAATCCTCTCACTACTCAGTTTATGACTCATATATCATTTAGAGTACTGAGAGAAGTGAGAGAAACACTTCCTTATTCACTGTGATTTCGCTTTAGCCCAGACAAAACACTCAAGCAACCAAGAATTGAAGTTATAGCCTGTGGTTAGTGGGTTTATGTTTATTGCCACATATTAAGTGTTTAATGTGGATTATGTACTTACATTCTAACGAGACACCCACCACATAGTGTAGGAGGGTGTGCATATAAGTATTGAAATCCAAGATCCTTTGTATCATCCATTCCCTCTTTATTAGTTATACTAGTTTTTTACGCGCATTACGCGATTGGGATAATGCCCAATATTTTTTTTTTTTAAATAAGTACTTTAAAGTATATCAAAGCAAGATTATATTTGAAATTGTTTATGCATAGATAATTGAATGTTAAATTTGCGTATTTAAATATGCAATTCTAAGTTACAAATGCAAGATAATATAGTCAAGATTGATTATAATTGTCAATAAAATAATTGTATAGGTATGGTTGAAATCAAATATGGGACATAAGAGAGAGCAAATAAAAATTAGGGCATAAAATATTAAATATATACTAATATTGAAGAGCTAACTTCTCATGCCAAACATGGACATTGCGACATATTTTTCCACTTCAATTTGTTGTGTGATTTGAATACTATTTTAAGCAACAAATCCCCAAGTAGTTAATATAATGGGAAAATTGTAAAAAATGCCCCTCTATAATATGCCAATTATCAATGTCACCCATAAATTATGAGTGGTGTAAATGTTGCCCCTCAATTATCAAAACGGTGCACATATAGCCCCTCCCGTAACGGACACGTAGTTCCCCGTTAGTGTATGACATCGTTAAGTTGGAGTAAATATGTAATTTAGTTGTTTTTTCCCTCCATTGATTCGAAGTACCAGCGATGGACAATGGTGGGGAACCACAGGTCTGTTACAAGAGGGGCTATATGTGCACCGTTTTGATAATTGAGGGACAACATTTACACCACTCATAATTTAGGGGTGACATTGATAATTGGCATATTATAAAGGGGCATTTTTTACAAATTTTCCTAATATAATTGGCTTAATTATATATTTTTTTAATATTTTTTATTTTTTAAAAACAATTATTATTATTATTATTATTATTATTATTATTATTATTATTATTATTATTATTATTATTATTATTATTATTATTATTATATATGTATACCTTAGGTCATTTTATATGTTAATCTAAACAGCAAATTTTGTCAAATATCTTTTTACCAACCATTGATATAATTCGCTGGTCAAATTCGCTAATATAATCTGCTAACACTAACCGCTAACTGCTGATTATCAAACAAGGATATTGCGAGGTAGTTCTCAATTCAATTTGTTGTGTGATTTGAATACTCTCTTTGTCCACAAATCTCATCAAGTAGTTAATTTGATTGACTTTATTAATTAATTACATTTTTTTAATTTTTTCATGTTATTAATAAAAAATTTGGTAAATAAATATATAGCATTATTTTGTATTATAACTTTGATATTTAATTAAAAAATAGTGCACAATAAATATAATAGACAATGTAGTGAATATGATGAGGATACGATATATCTGAATAATCAATAATGAGTCTGTACAAGAGTATATATAGTAGTGAATAGTAAACCTATTACAAGACGAATACTAATAATAATAGGTAACGAATACTAATGATGATAGAGTCCTAATACTCCCCCTCAAGCACAAGGTGGACTAGCAACAACATTGAGCTTGCCACATAGAGTAGAGAAACGCGGACCAGGGAGAGCTTTAGTGAACACATCAGCCAACTGATCCTTTGTAGAAATGAAGCTAACCTGCAACTCCTTCTTCGCCACTTTGTCACGAACAAAGTGGTAATCAATTTCCACATGCTTCGTACGAGCATGGAAAACCGGGTTGGAACAGAGATAAGTCGCACCCAAATTATCACACCAGAGAGTGGGAGGAGCAGCCAATGACACTCCAAGCTCGTGCAACAGAGAAACCAACCAGGTGACCTCCGCAGACACATCAGCCAGAGCCTTGTTTTCAGCCTCTGTAGACGAACGAGCAACCGTGCGTTGCTTCCGACAAGACCAGGAAATCAGATTGCCACCAAGAAAAACCGCAAAACCACTAGTAGACTTCCTGTCAGCTGGATCACCAGCCCAGTCCGAATCCGAAAAGGCATGAACCGCAACAGAGGAGGAAGGACGAATAAAAAGACCAAAGTGCAGAGTTCCTTTTACATACCGTAGAACACGCTTGAGCATAGCCCAATGCTCAGTGGTTGGAGAGTGCATATGCTGACAGACCCGATTCACGGCAAAAGAGAGATCCGGACGAGTAACAGTAAGATACTGTAGAGCCCCAGCAAGACTGCGATACTGCGTGGGATCTGCATATGGAACCACAGAATCAGAAGAAGGTCGGGACACAGGAACCGGAGTAGCCAACGGTTTACAGTCCACCATACCCGCACGGCTCAAAATATCTCGCATGTATCGCTGCTGAGAAAGAAACAAACCA